TATCGTTTACGCGTATCTCTATCGGTATTTTTATTTTTTTTTTTTTTCTTATATTACATAAACACATACGTACATATATACAAACATACGTGTGTATACATACATATATATATATATATATATCCTCATCAAAGAAACATTATCCTGGTCCATGATGTGATCAACGAAATGATTATTTATTACCACAAAATTATTTCTTTTCTGTTTTTTTTCTTATTCGCTGTATGCTTTTAATATCGCGTTAATTCGCATAATTGATAACTGCATGCGCGGCGATATCTCTTAGAGCCAATTGATTCACGTTTGGCGGATGTGGATAAGAACGAGAAAAAAGAAATAAATAAAAGAGAAAAACAAAAAAAAGACAAAAAAAAGACAAAAAAGAAAAAGAAAAGAAATACATACGTAGAAGTACGAGATAAAAATATCTCTTGCTCTTTTAATGTATACGTTTCCGATGTTTATCAAGAATAGAGGAAAGAAATAAGGTAAAAGGAAAAAGAAAAAAAAAAAAAAGAAAAAAAGGAATGTAATATCTATCTCACCTGCCACCTTCTTCAATACCACAGGTTCCGCCTTGATACCGTCACCCGTTACATTGAAATTCTTTTTATCCGATTTGTCGATCTTCTCGAACTCTAAAGCGTAATTGTCATTACCATTGTTAGGCGACATATTAACACGTGGAATAACGAAAGCTCTGTCCATAATCCTTTGTCTTATTACTTCGGCACTTCTGCTTTCATTGCAGTTCTCTGAACCGTTCGATTGAATATTCGTCACGTTCAGCAAGGATGGTTCAGTCCCCGAGACCGGCAAAGCGACCATGCCTGTATTTTGATGTGCATATGTAAATATACTAATATATATGTGTAATTTTTTTTTTTTTTTTTTTTTTTTTTTTTAATCAATAATGTCAGTAACGTACGTCAATACAACGACGCATAATCACGCTAGGATCACGCATAAAAAGTTGGACATTCGCGAATGACTTAGTTCGGGATTTAAACCTATATGTTATCCTGACAAACGTTAGCGTCGCTCTAGTCATTTTTTATTTCGAGTATCTTGGGATTTCCCTCTATTAAGGATCCTTCTTTAAAAAGTTCTATAGGCCCGTTAACTATGTCGTTTTTATCTTCGATTTCTCACATTGCCTTCTCTTTATTACACATGCAATTTATTTCTTTTTCTCTTTTTTCTCATATTATTGAACATTGAACAATTTTCAAACGCGTAAACGAGCTAATGTTTGTTTAACTTTTAAAATCATTCGGTAAAAAAATTCGGGAAAAAAGTTGAAGGCCTTCTTTTCATCCTGAATGTCTACTTGAACATGAAATAAATGGACATGTTCGGACTCATAATATTCAATGGTTAACATCATTAATATCTATTATACTGATTGAAAAGAAATGATTAACATTTGGATGATTTTTCATTACGTTCAATTTGTCATTTTTTATATATCCTCTTCTATTCTTTTATATTATTATTATTTTATCTTTCGACGAGAAAAAAAAAATTCAAACTCACCGAATTCGGTGCTGACGTACGGTACGATAATTTTTTATCCCAAAGTCGCCGATTCCAGGATCAACCTGAGACAATTTCACGTCAGCTCTGCCCAGTTCCGTCAGCCTTAATCTAGAGTATCTAAACGCGTGACAAAAAATAAAGAACATGTTGCGTTATATCTTAATTAAATCTTGTGAAGATAAAGAAACATAGAAGAGCGCAGTTAGTAACATTCCACGATCGAGAATTTTCTGACCTATCCAATGATTAAATTAAATTTTGTTTATTATATTTTTCTTTATTAAACGTCAATCTGTATAATCGGGACAAAACATAGATGCGTAAAACAATTTTGCATGTAGCTGGTACTTTTCTATATTTCCAAAAAAAAAAAAAAAAAAAAAAAGAGAGAGAGAGAAGAGGAGAAAAGACTGAAAGACTTTAGAAATCAGATTAGCATGAAAATAAATTATTGTAACATTTTGATCGTATTAAATTTGAATAGATATATTTTAAAAAGGAAAAATGATAGCCAAGATCGAATTGCTGATTATCACATTCCGATTAATTTTTTATTCAAGCGTATTATCGTCGGCATCACCGGCAACGTTAGACAGTAGTCAGCATTATTACTTAAGACGGATATAAAAGTTGAGCTTCGGTAATTGATAACGCTAACGATAAGCACCAGCTTGCTCATTATAATTCGTTCTTTTTCCCTTTTTCTTTTCTTTTCTTTTCTTTTCTTTTCTTTTCTTTTCTTTTCTTTTTTTTTCCTAATCTACTTCCTCTACTTATTCTTCTTTTTCTCCTCTTTTCTCCACCTTGATTTCAATGTCGTTGCACTGTCGTCATCGCGATTGCTCCAGTAGTTAAACGTAGACGATCATGAAACTCTGCGAAATATTATACGTACTTTGAATCAGCATATTGTCTAATCGCAACACGAGGAACTAAGATCTCGCGTTACCGTTAATCTCAATGCACGTGGCTTTAACAAGCGGCTGATGCGCCTGCGCACGCGAATCCGCGTAAAAAAAAAAAAAAAGAAGAAAAAAAAAATACAAAGCAAGAGAGAGAGAGAGAGAGAGGACAAAAAAAATGGATAGAATTATTATATCGCATATCTATATATAGTATATTTCGAAGATCCTTTTCACGATTAAAATTTCGTTACCGTTGTAAGATGATACAAAAAAAAAAAAAGAAAAAAAAAATAATATATCATTCGACCACTGTATCTTGTCAATGTCAAGTGTTCTTGCAGATAAACGATTCCGATCAGGCATATTAATTCTAAACGATTATTTTTACGTTCAATGTTATTCGATCGAATTTTCAATTAGTATCTTTTATTTCATTGTATTGTTCAATTTTTCGTTCGATCGTTCGAGAAGGAATATTTTTTTTACAGATAAAAAAACGAAAAGAATTTGCCTGCCGTTGTCGTTGAGTGTCATGTAAAAAGCTAAAAAGAAAAAAAAAAAAAGAAAAGAAATAAAAAATAAAAGGAAAAAAAAAACAGAAATAAAAGAAATAGAAAGAACTTTGCGACCAGAGATATTCTTTATCGTAATAGATTTTCTTCGTTATCGAACTTCAGCATTCGCAGTTTCGTCGATCAATTGAGGTCTAACGAAATATCATTCGGAATGATTATTTAAGGGGAAACTTCAATAATAAATCAGATATCGATACACCTCGAGAGAGTCACGAAGCTGATAACGATACCGATATCTATACGGAATTTGTAATGGTCGATCGATAATTCTTCTTAGGATCTTCCCGGCCCTACACATTCCCGTCCACTTCCGTTCTTTGAGTCGTTGGAAAAAACAAGGATTTTTTTCTTTTTATGTAGGATGTTAAAGAAAAAATATACAGGGAAGTATCGTAGATCGAACGGAAGACGCATGGTAGATTAAGGAAAAGAAGGAAGGAAAAAAGGAAGAAAGAGAAGGATGGACATTGTCAATTATTATTTTACTTACATAACAATTACATGTCGTTGAATTAGCGCCAGCGTGTCGATCTTTTTTGATGTGACGTCTATCGTGTCTCGTTCACGGTCAACAACGACGGAACGAATGTGCTCGTTAAAATCACCTTTGGATGGATCACGAGATTTCGAATCAACGAATGTTATCTCAATAAAACTTATCGAAATAATAGATAAATGATATTTAGGAATTATGGTTATTAAATAAATCCACGTATATTCCAGCTTCGTTTAGTTTAATGAAGAACTTTGCGATCGATTCTATGTCAAATGTTAAATATATATATGTGTATATATATATATATATATATATATATATATATATATATATATATGTATATATTATATGATTGATGCAACCGACGATGTGAACCGTGTGCCACACGCGGTCTTGCTTGACTGATAAACGAACTGTTAAGCTCGGCGGCCGTCGTCGTTGTCGTCGTCGTCGTCGTCGTCGTCGTCGTCGTCGTCGTCGTCGTCGTTGTTGTCGTCGTTCGTCTACGCGACGCACGCGGGATCAGACAAACGTCTTTCGTTTCTCTTCGGAGGAAAACACGTGTGCTATCTTGACCGATTTGCCGATTGATGCCGGTTGTCTTTGATTGTCTTGCATGCTTTGATGGTGGTGGTGGTGGTGGTGGTGGTGGTGGAGGTGGTGGTCGTCGTTGGTAGTGGTGGTACTGCTGGTACCGCTGGTGGTAGCAATGCTTATTGTTATTGCTACTTGTGTATATTGCCAATGTTTTGCATTTTCCTTGATGACGATCTTCAATGATAACATATAAGAATACAAATAATAGATCGATTTATTTATTACTCTTTATCTATATAAACTTTGTTAACGTGTTTCTATCGCAGTTAAGAATTTACTTGGAATTAAATTATTCCACTTCCTCCCCTCCTTTTACAATTCCCATACATCTCTTCGCAATCGTAGTCATTGTCATCGTCATTCTTTAAAATTCCCTTCTTCACTTCTCCTCCGTTTACGATCTCCTCATTCCCCACTATATCCTATTCTCATATACTTCACTTCTATATCTTCTATAACCAACATCACGCTCTCTTCTCATACCGATTGACCCATATATAACTATTTCGCGTTCCGGGTTAAACGATTTACTCTACACGCTCTTCTTTCTTTTATTTATTTCTTTTTCTCTATCTCCTCTTATCCCCCTTTCATAATTCTCGCTTCAACTTCCTATTACTACTTGATGGAATCTATTGTACGTCAAGAGGAATACGATACACGACAACGTGTGACCTTTTTAATTCATACCCTTTGACGATTTATAAACGATGTTATTTCTTTGACTATTTAATGATACGATACGATACGATACGATACGTTACGATACGTGTTCTCCCGCGAAAAGTATTTATTTTTTAAAGTATATTTTTGCCTTTGGAGAACGTTTTTTCTTTTTCTTTTTCTTTTTCTTTTTCTTTTTCTTTTTCTTTTTCTTTTTCTTTTTTCTTTTTTTCCACAGTTGCTTCATCGTCGCCGTCATATCATCGTACCTAATAAACAAATAATATAATTCGTAGAAAAGTATCTTTTCCCGCTCTAGGATATCTAACCGTAGAATAAATTTCTAGCTCCTATTAACTTGTGTTTATGTTTTACTTACATCTTATCGGATTTTCTTCGAGAACTTTAATACCCATGAAAAAGGGAGGGGATTAGAGAAAGCGAGAGAATAGATTTAAAATCTCGAAACTTCAAACGCATTAGCTTGTTTGTCACAACTCTGCGTATTTTCTTATAAATTTTATCTCTGATGTTATATTATTTCACCGTGTGAATTTTAAAAATTTGTCAAGAGAGATTGATGGGAAATTTGAAATCATAATGAAGACATGTCGTGCGTACACTTGGTAAAATAGAAAAAAGAAAAAAAACAAAACAAAACAAAAAAAAAAAAGAAAAAGAAGAAATGAAAAGTAAAAGAAAAGAGAAATGTGAAATAAATCTTATCATTTTATTTATCGAGTCGAATAAGTATACGGATAAGTTCTTATTGTATTGTACTGAGTCATTTGAATTTATCGTTGCCATGCAAATCGCATAAAAATTTACTTGCTTGTTCATGGCTCAATCGTGATTTACCAGTCCCAGACAAAGAGTTTTTTCAATTTTTTTTTTTTTTTTTTTCTTCAACACATATGAACAAATCAGTATAAATACGAAGTTTGTAAATAATTGAAAAAATTAATGAAACAACAAGTAGTAAAAAAAGTTAGTTGGAAAGTACTTTTGTACTTAATGATAGGTTAAATATTATCTGTTACCGTTAATTATTTTTTCTTCTTTTTTGTTTTTTTTTTTTTTTTTTTGTTTAGAAACGATTAGGGTCTTAAGTCATTAAAAAAAAAAAAAAAAAAAAAAAAAAGAAAAAAAAGTACGTCTTGATGATAGGATATAATTGAAGAAGTTCTTTTTCATAAATATTCATGCCAAATAATTACTTACCTATATGTAAATTTTACTTGGACGAAGTAAAATGTCTGTAAAGTTGCATGAAAATTTTTCTTTTATGACGTTCACTCTGACGCAATTTTGATAAATACTTATCGAACAGTTAAGTGAAAGGAAAAAAAAAAAAAGAATGAAAAGAAAATTTATTACACCATAACATAAACATATTCAAAAGCAGCCTTGAATTTCTTTTAATTTCTTCCAAATGAAATAGAACTTGTTCGAGAGCGTAAATAAAGACAACACGAAACGAAACGAAACGAAATAGAAAAGAAATAAGAAATATATTGTTAAAATTTATAAAACATTCGATAATACCTATTTTTACAATTCGCTCTGTGTCATAGAAATATGTGTCTTCTTTTCCTTTTCTTTTTTCTTCTTTCTTTCTTTTTTTCTTCCTCCTTTTTCTTTTTTTAGAACAAGGAAAAACTATACACGGACACGATCGATCATTATGCTCGAGTTGTTGGGAAAGAAAGAAAAAGAAAAAGAAAAAGAAAAAAAAAGAAAAAAAAGAAAAGAAGGATAAAGATAATTTTGGAGTTTGCATGCTCGTCGGTGATCAATGGAATTTGTCGAAAGTGTAATAAGTGGAGTTAACGAAAGAAAGGAAGAAGGAAGTAAAGGTGAAAAAATAAAATATAAAAAATGTACCAAATATTAAAAAAAAAAAAAAAAAAGAAAGAAGGAACAAAGATAGAAAGAAAGAACAGGATATAAATCGACGACATTGAAATCCGCGGTCGAATGGTAATAAATATTATATATATGTATATATATATATATATATATATATAATATATATATGTATTTTACTAACATAAGTTTAGAAAACGTGCCTCTAATACTTACCTATATATGTATATATATATATATATATACATATATAAGTATCTACTTGAGGAGTTTTCTTATCGTTACATAAATATATGTCTTTTATACCTCGTACTCGTTACCACAAGATCGTCGTCATACGATTCAATTAGACAACACGATTGGCATTCTATACGTGTATGTATCCGAAAGAACGTTGGGATTTACACGTCTATCGTGACGTAAACGTCGTCAATGAAGAAAGATAAGGAAATCTCGATTAAAGGCATTTATACACTGATTTCACGTGCATTTCAAATGATATTCCTAAGATAATCCGATCATTTTACAAATCTTTTATTTCTCTCTTTTTCTATTAATAATTTTCTTTTTTTCTTTTTTGCTCGTTTTAGATTTTCTCTTCTTTTTTTCTTTTTTTTTCTTTTTTTTTTTTTGTTTTTATATACCTAGCTATATAGAGTAAGAAAGAATATTATATTTAACGCAGACAAAATCGCTTATATCTTCGTGTCACGATTTTTTTTTATGTATTAGCAATGAAGCCGAAATAGATAGACTGACTGACAGGGAGAGAGAGAGAGAGAGACAGGGAGAGAAAGAGAAAGAGAGAGGGAGAGAGAAAGAGAGAGGTGCCTTTAAATTGTTTATTTTCATAAGGAATCTCTTTAAAAAAGCAACGAGATAAGTAACACTAATTGCTTTTCTCACGAAACTTCGTAATAAACACTTCTAATCTGAGGTATTTTACAGAATCGTAAGCAAGTCGATTATCACTGATAAGAGAGAATTTGTCATCTCTCTCTCTCTCTCTCTCTCTCTCTCTCTCTCTCTCTCTCTCTCTCTCTCTCTCTTTCTCGAAAACGTTTACCATTCTTGACGATAACGGCTACGCAATTATGTTGCTTCTAAAGTTTTATGGATCCTTTTACAATTTATTACTTTATTTTCATGAAATATATATTATTACTTTATTTCCATTGAAACCGTATTTATGAAGTCTGTCTAAAGTCAAATTTATCTTCGATTTATATATATACCTTTTTTGACCTTTTAATAAATTAAAATGTTCTTCAATATTGAATATCTACTTTAATTAATCACTTATTAGTATCGAAGCTAATCTGTCCATCATGAAATTATTAAATTCTGATCGATACATTTTTCAATTTAATCTCATTTAATTAATCGATTATTCGAGAGATCGCAAGTACTTTCGAATATCAATGCTATTAAAAAAAGAAAAAAAAAAAAAAGAGAAAAATAAAAAAAAAATAATTAAAAAAAAAATAAGAAAAAAAAAGAGAAAAAAGTTAGATCGAATATCCGATAATGTAATGTAATATTTTTTAATAATAATCTTGGGTACTTACCTGTATCTATAGATTTTTTAAATATATGCATGTACGTATATTAAATTCGCGTGATTCGCAATGTTGACGTTGTTGTTTTAATTGCAACATCGGGGAAAGATATTATACGAATACATGGCCAGGAAAAAGATGTATTGTCGATTGTTCTGAGTATCGGATTTTCTTCCTTGTTAAATAGATGACGAATCAAGAGAATCGTTTCTCTTGATATAATGAAAAAGTTATAGCTCGTAAAGACTCGTTCGAGAGTTATGTTATTTCATAAATCATTATTCATAAACTTGATGGATTTCTAATTTTACGATGGAGAATATCCTGTTAATTAATTTTTTTTTTACTATTACTATTACTATTACTATTACTATTACTATTACTATTACTATTACTATTACTATTACTATTACTATTATTATTATTATTTATATTTTGCTTGTAATCCATCCTACTATGTCTTTAAATTTGAACGAATTAACATTTTCTTTTTTTTTTTTTTTTTTTTTTTTGCAATTACAATTAGCACCTCATTAAAAATTGTCTTCTTTTTTTCTTTCCTTCATTTTTTTTCTTTTTTATGTTTACATAATCCCCTCCCTCAAAAAATTTATTCTCCTATGCAAGAAGTTTTCTACATATCGACAAAACGATGGATAGTTTTATGTAGGTTAAATTGCGTATTTTTTCAGTTCAATACAATAACAGCGATACGTGAATAGATTGAATTGCACGACTTGTCGGGAATTATTGATTCTTGAAAAATCTAACGATTAGTTAAATTGTCGTTAAGTAGTGGAGATAATAATAGTAATAATAATGATAATAATCGTCACTTACGACAGTAATAACGATGACGACGACGACGACGACGACTTCGACGACGACGACGACGATGACGATGGCGAAGGCGATAATTGTAATAACGAAAAATGGGGATCAAGGTAATTAATAATAAAGAAGAAAAAAAAAATCAAGGACAACGATTTAATGGTTATTAAATTGTATTTCTTTTATTTATTTTTTTTTTTCATTTTTTTTTTCTTTTTTTTTTTTTTTTGGACGAGTCCAACTATCCTTGGCTAACAAATAATATTTACGAACAATCAATCTCTATGCACTTACAATGTAATTTTGATTTTGAATATTTTGATTTTCGACTCTTTTCTCTCCTCCTCCTCCTCCTCCTCTTCTTTCTCCTCCTTCTCCTCCTCCTTTTTCTCTTGTTCTTTATTCTCCTTCACCTCCTCTTCTTTTTTTTCTTTTTCTTTTAATCTCTCTCTTCTTATTTTTATCTTTTGTACCCTCGATCGCATTTATCAAAACAATGCTTTGCCCAGCGGAATAAAAAAATGTATGATTAATATGCGAAGATGACAATAATAATAGTGTGTGATTGAAATATGAAAACTTATTATCGTGTTAGAGTTAATTAATTAATTAATACAATAGCATCGTTTCGATCGCAATATTTAAATGATATCGAGTTATTAGGATTTTCACAAAAAATATTTCTTACAGTACGAAGATAAAAATATGTATGTTTTGACACCAAAGTATTACGGTTATTCGTTTGACATCCTTTGTTGACAGAGGCGACACAGATTTGTGCAAAAGAAAAAAAAAAAAAAGAAAAGAGAAAGAAAGAGAAAGAAGGAAAAAGAAGATAAACTTAATTTATTTATCTCTCTTGTGCGATTAACATCTTAATTTCTAGATGTATCTATGTAATTCGATATTCCTATAATTAAAAAAATGCCGTGCGATCATCGCTTTTATTTATTTCCTTTTCCTTTCTTTTTTCTTTTTCTTTTTTCCTTTTTTTTTCTTTTCTTTTTTTTCTTTTTTTTTTCTCTCTCTTTTTTTTACACAAATCAGCAAAAGAGGATGCACAAAACGCGTCCGTAATTTCTTGTACTATATACGTCGATCGTACACACGCAATATCAATCTTAGGTTTTATATATATATATATATCTCACAGATATAGATTAATAATAATAATAATAATAATAATAATAATAATAATAATAATAATAATAATAATAATAATAATAATAATAATAAAGTAAATAAATAAATAAATAAATAATAATTCGTAATATATCGGATAAATCTTATTAAATTTCTCGTATAAATATGTTTTGCATTTTATAATCTTTAATGTTTTCCAAAAACTTAAACACTATATGTATATACCATACGATAAAATATTATAATAATTTCT